ACAAGGTATCGTTTTTTAAGTAAGTGGGTCAAACTATAGTTACACATGCGTTTCAGTCCGTTGTATGCTAGTAATGGGAATACACAAGTCTGGGGGACTTGTAAAGAACAGAGGTTTATTTCGCTCATGGTTTGGGAGGCCGCACCTGATGAGAGTCTTCCTGCTGGGAGGTAACATGGCAAAGGGCATCAATCACATGGTAAGACAAAGAAAGCACGTGCATCTACGTCCCTGTCAGTGTCTGTGTGTCACTATTATTCCCTCTCTTCAAAAACTCACCAAGATTCAACCATGGAAGCCCGAGCCTCGTTACCTGCATGCTAAACACCTCCAAAGGGCCACACCTTCCAACACTCCACTGAATTAAGTTTCTACTCTCTTAATAATTATAGGATACAACCAAATTCCAACACATGAACTTTCAGCAATTACTTTCTACATGGCTGCATGAAAGATGCTGAATTGAAAGGCAAAAACAGGGACAGCAGTTAGTGTAATGGCTATGTCGCTGAACTCCCACGTAGTCGGCCGTGGTTAGATTCCCAGACCTGGTGGTTTAAACTCACACTGGGAACATGTGCGTGGGTACCCAAGATCCCGAGAGGAGAATGGAGGAGAAGGGATTGCGGCGTAGCCATCCTCCCTGGGGGGTGATTTCTCGTTTTCCGTCTGTCTTTCTGGCGAACGCATGTGCCCTATAGCAAAAACCTCTCCAAAAAAAAAAAAGGTCAAAACATCATCATTCCATCAAGGAAGTAAAAAGGGTGAGATTTTATAAAAAAAAAAAAAAAAAAAAAAAAAAAAAAAAAACCAGAGATCCAGTCCATGACCCAGTGGTTAAGACACCTGGATCCCACATTGCTGACTACATAGTTCAAGTCTTAGACCTTATGCTTAAAAAGCACATTGGGTACATGTGTGTGCGTTTGTGTGTGCCTAAAATCCCAACAGGAGAAATGGAGAAGGGACTATGGAGTGACTTTCTCCCATTGGGAGGGGGTGCTTTCTCACTTTCCCTCTCTCTCCAGCAAGAGCACATGCCCCCTAACAAATTAAAAAAAAAAAAAAGAAGTTGGATTTTTCAAGTTGAAATTAGACTTGAAAATGTAAAAAAAAATCTTCAAAATAAAATAAACGAGGTATAGGTTAGCAGGTTAAGGTACTGGCTTCCTCATGGCCAACTACGGTTTGAGTCGTACACCCAGCAACTTGAAAAACACACTGGATGCACGTGCATGGCCAAAATCTCACGAAGAGAATGAAGGAGAAGGGACTGCAGTTTGGCAAGCCCCCCTGGGGGGTGATTTCTTACTTTCCTTCTCCTCTGTCTCTCTCCAGCAAGTGCAAGAGCCCTATGGAAAAAAATCTTAAAATTCTAAAAAAGAAAAAAAAAAAAGGAAAGAAAAATGAAATGCCACTATATAGGTCCTTTTACAGAAGGGGAAGAATGTTCAATTCCCATCAAAATCTCATTATTTATTATTATTATTATTATTAGGATTAGCAGGTGGCCTGATGGTTAACACACTGGACTCCCACATGGCAGACCACGGTTCAGGCCCTGGATCCGGCAGCTTAAAAATCACGTCAGGAGGGAACCAGCAGTTAGCGTAATGGCTATGTCACTGGACTCCCACGTAGTCGACCACGGTTCGTGTCCCGGACCCGGTGGCTTAAAACTCACGCCGGGCGCGTGTGCGTGCGTGCCCAAGATCCCGAGAGGAGAATGGAGGAGAAGGGATTGCGGCGTGACCATCCCCCCTGGGGGGTGATTTCTCGCTTTCTGTCTCTATGTCTCTCTCTGTCTGTCTGGCGAGCGCACGTGCCCTACAGTGAAAATCTCTCAAAAAAAAAAAGAAATCACGTCAGGTACATGTGTATACATGCCCAAAATCCAGAGAGGAGAACAAATTGCTGAATGGCCATCCCCTTTGAGGAGGTGCTTTCTCATTTTCCCTCTCTCCCTCTTCTCTGGGGAGTGCAAGCACCCTGTGACAAAAACCTAAAACAAACAGAGATTACATTATAGATAGATATGATATAAACATATTATATATATATATTATGTATACATATATTATTTTACATATACATATATCTCATTACTATGAAGGAAAAAGAGAAAAGAACCTCAGACTGGTTGACAGTCATGTATTCAAGAAGATCTAGTGGGTGAACTGAGAGTAACCTGCTGAGAAGTCCTATACAAATACAGGGAATATTCTTTTAAAAGAACACTAACCAAATTTTTAAAAAAGGGCAAGATGAAAACAGAAAATTGCTTGATGACATTTCCATCTCAAAGATGCCAAGCAAATAAACTTCACCTTAAGTCCACTTCAGATTATTTTAATATTAGAGGAAAGACAATGAATAAGTCACACATAACTGAATCTTTAGCAAACTTTTGCATCTCAAAATTCTAATGCTGAAATCTTAGTGCCCCCATCACCACCCTATGATGGTGATATTAGGAAAGGGGGAGGAGGAATGTCATTATGTCATGGGTCAAACTTTGGATAGAATGATTGCCCTTATGGAAAAGCCCTGAGGAAGCCCCCAATCCCTTCCACCATGTAAGAACATACAAAATGACACCCATCTATGAGGAAACAGCCCTAACCAGACAACAGATACATAGGCACATTGATCATGGACTTCCAGCCTCCCGATCTATAGAAAATAAAATGCTGTTGTTTATAAATAAGCTACCCAGTCTATGGCATTTTGTTTTAGCAGTCAAAGTGGATTAAGAGAGCAGTTAAGCAAAGAAAGTGAACTAAGAACCATGTTTTATTTGCTCTACAAATTACAGGATGGAAATCCTTTTAAACTGTGTGTTTGCTTATAAATTGTTTGGGAAAGTGTTTTCAAAAGCTGTAAGATATCTTTTGTTGCTGCTGGTCAGTTTAATAAAAAAATATAGTTTTAAAGTTTAAAGTATAGTTTAAAGCTGCCAAAATCTGGACCTTCTAGGGGGACAAAATATGATTTTAGTTAATCTACCCTGCAGCACAAATCAAACAAACCATATTTTTGAATCCTTCCTGTAGAGAAACGGTATCTGCAAGATAGTCACACCAAATAAAAGGTTTTTAAATTGGTCCCTGTCTTCAAATTCTCTATGTAGTAAAACATTTCCTCCTACTCTGTAAATTATACTTTGGTTTTCTGAAGTTTCAAGTACGATGTCACAGAAAATTTTGTTATTAAAATGGAGACTGACCATAGTTTTGATTGGCCCTGCATTTGTAACAAACTTTTCAAAACAATGTACGTTGGAACCGGCAGGTGACATGGTGGTTGGGCACTGGACTCCCATATGGCGGACCATGGTCTGAGTTCTGGACCTGGCAGCTTGTTTTCTCACTTTCCCTCTCTCTCTCACATACACTCTGTCCCTCTTTGGTCAAATTTAAATAAGATTAACAGATGGATAGATAGACAGATATATAGATAAAATAACCCTTAAACCAAATCACACCAAAACAATGTGTCCTGGCCAGCACGAAACAGAAAAACCAGGTACTTTAAATTAGAACAGGAAGAAATTCTGGGCATTAATGCAGATTTGGCATACACTATGGGCCAAGTCCATAAGCAAGTTCAGTTCAGCAAAAGCAGTAAGGCACTTAGTTGCCATAATTATCTATGCAGAACCGCACAACCCCCCCCCCCCCCCAGTAATCTATAAAAACAAGAAAAAGCTCTAGGACTAATGAGTGAGTTTAGCAAGGTAAAATGTAACAAGATCAACATAAACCAATAATCATCGGTCTAAATACCATTAAGGTATAATTAAAAACTTAGCTTAAAAAAAGTCACTGATAAGGGGCCAGCAGGTGATGTGGTGGTAAGGCACTGTATCCCCACATGGCTGACTACGATTTGAGTCCTGGACCTGGTGGCCTAAAAATTCATGCCGGGTATGCATGCCCAAAATCCTGAGAAGAGAATGAAGAAGAAATCGTGATATGGCCATCTCTCCATGTGAGGTGATTTCTCACTTTCTCACTCTCTGTCTCTAATTCACTGTCTCCAGCAAACACATGCACCCTATGGCAGGAACCTCTAAAACAAACAAACAAAAAAACAAAAAAAAAGTTATTTACAGTAACTCCCCCCAAGATGAAATACTGAGGAATAAAAGCATCATGTACCGTTATTTGTATACTGTAAGC